ATATGCATCTTAAGTTGCGAAAAATATCATTTTGTCTTTAGTAATTTGTGCCACATCAAGAAAGTTGTATATTATCTGTAAAATCTAGTTTAATTGTATTCTTGAAATAAATCTTAAAACTTTTAAAATAAAAACAAAAAAGTTTTGAACTTTAGTATAGTAATAAGATTTGTTATTTTTTACTTAATGTCATATTCTATTATTTTAATACCCCTTATAATGTATATTGTTATTATAGGACGATACAAAAAAATCATTGTCGAGCGATGGCTGTGAACAAGAAGTCACGAGATTATTATGTTCAATTTAAGTTTGGACAATAGTGTGTAGTCTTTGGCGAGATGCGAAATATTTGAGGGATTTGTATAAATTTTAAATTTTTTATAAATTTACAGAAGTAGTGATAATATTATTAACGTTTAAAATTTGAGTTTTAAGTTATGAATTGGAGGAGTAAAATCCGTAATCAAAACTATTAAAGAAAAATGCAAGGCAGTAGAGGCCAAGAAAGGTTAAATTAAATTGATTTAATATTGATGCAACGCGACACATAAAAACCATTTTATCATATTAAAGTTATTTAGTTGACAATTATAAAAGAAAGTAAATGCAATTAGAATATTATGCTTTTACAAAACACAAGCTGTTGAGAACTGTGATTAAAAGATGAAACATGTTTTATAGTAATAAATATGTTATTATCATATTTATCAAGACATCATAAGAATTAGAAAGGTTTGTTTTAGAAATCTAGTTCATGTTTTTATCTGAAACAAAATTAAGAAAATATTATTTAGTAACTATGTTTTATGAAAATGTACTCAATACAAACGATTTTTCAAAAAAGTTTATTGTTGATTAGCCTTTTTTTAAACGATATTCCTTAATTCTATAAATTTTTTATACAATTAATTAAATATTTCATTAAAGCGTTTGATTACTTTCTAATTTGACAAAAAATACAGTTGGCAGGACAGATACATTTATTATCATGTATATGTAAATTTCGAAAATTTGATTCAACAATAAAAAGGCTTTCGGACACGTCGGTATTCCTGTTAAATTTTTTACATGCTAGATTTTTGAATTTATAAAATCTTTTCTCGTTTTTTTTTTGTATTAATATAAATTACATGTATAGTCTCTAAAAAACTTGAAAGATTATTTAGAGCAAAAACTGATTTATGCTTCAAGTCATCAGATAAATTAGATGTTTCTAATTTTTTTATAAATTTTGGTATTTGATTGTTAATGATAGGTTTACAATAATGCCTTAATTCTTTTTCAGATTTTTTGTACTTTTCATAAAGATTACGTTTGTGCGCTGTAAATTGAAATTTTAGAAATGAAGCTTTGGTTTTTGTGCTTTTAGATACCAAAGCCATTTCATTACAATTTATTTTAAATTTTTAAATCTTAAAATTTTTTTTTTTACTTTTACGTTTTTACAATTTTCCTAAGCATTAATAAGAGAATTAATATTTTTTGGTTTTTTAATTAATAAATCATAAACGTTGAATGGTGTATTAAATTGGGAGTTATCCGGTTCATTTAAACAACTAATTTCCCCATGATAAGACTGGTGGTCTAATAAATTATTAACATTATTAATTTTCTTTAAAGAAGTGTTATTTTTTGGTTTGATATATTATAGGTTTTGTATTAAAACATTTTAAGTTTTACGTGATAAAATATAAGTATTATCATTCCAAAACATATTAATGTATGAATGGTCTGCTGTATCATTTCCAATACTGTTTGAAATTTTGAGACGTGCTGTATCATTTCTTGACTGTTCTAGCGTACAATATTGCTTTTTAAATATATGTTTAGTAACTGTATTTCTTGTAAAAGCGGGAGTCATCAGATTGTTCTCTGCAGTTATTAAAGAAGGAAAACTACACAAATCACAATCAACATTTTTATGTCTGCGATTTAAATCTTTGCCTGCGAAATCTTTAAAATCATTTAATAAATTAGAATCAGATTGATCTACAGATAAATTTTTATCTTCTGCTTTTGTCAATTCTTGGCTATTTTGTTGTATATCTACATTTTTACATAATCCATCATTTTCAACTGTTCTTGAAGTATCTGATGTATTTATTCTTAAATTCAATACTAAATTATGTTCCAATAATTGTCTTGAACACAGGATTATTTGCAACAAAAATAACATTTAAGGGTTAAAATATTTTTTAACAATTACAAAATCATTTTTATTAAATAATTTATGTTATAGAATGGACTAAAGTATCACGCCTAACTATAATCAAAAAAGTTAATTATCACTTCACAAAAAATATAAATTAAATTTTAAAAATTTATAATGATAAAGAGAAAATAATGCGTGAAGTATTTGACAGTAAAAAAATAATGACAGAAATGTGAAGGGTTGTGGAATGCAATAGACATCTACATTTGACACTGCTGATTAAAAATTTTTAACCCCCCAAAATGAGTTGCAAAATTAAGAAAGAGAAAAAGTACTTGCAGAAATAAGGAATGTTTTTTGTATCAAATTGATGTTTTAACATAATAAATCAATTTAAATTTTTAAAAAATAAATAAGTTTTTACAATCTAAAACAGTTTTAATTACTTTTCCAAATACACAAGATTCTTGGTTTCTTTTAATTGCAAAAAATTCCAAAAAACTACTTATTTTTGATTAAAGTCTACATTTAGGAAGAATGTTTGATTTCACATCTGACCATGTTCCTTCTACTGTGTTTGTACGAGTACCTGTTTGGTGATTCATAAAACCAATACTATGATTTACAGTATGATGTGTACATTTTATATATTTACTTAATTTGGCGTATCCTTCCCAGTAGTCTGTATGTACAATACTTCCTGGCATGACATACTTTTTAATTGGTTTTAAGAGTGTATCCGCCTTTCTGTTTTTAACTTAAATTAATGCAAGTTTTCAGCAAAAAGTACGCTCAACCATTCCTAAGTCTCATACTCTATCAAATCTATACACCTTGTGATATTTTTGCCAGTCGAATTCAGATTCATCTATTTCAAGAATCACGCCATGTTCTCCTATTTTTTTTATTTCCTTTGACGTGTCGTCCCGCATGCTTTACAATACGATTAATCATTTTTTAGTCAAATTCCGTAATAAATTTTATCGAATTGTTTTGCAAAATGAAAATATAACTTTTGCAACTATTATCTAATTAATTTTAGCATTAAAAAGTGGCTTTTTATAAGTAATTTTTGTTTCCTTCCCGCAAGTAGTGCGAGTACATCGTAAAATATTCTGCTACTTGACTACTCTTTTGACATTACCTAAACATTGGAGACATCCCCTTTCTATGATAATATCAGAAACAACTTTATCAAATGCCTTCTTTATTTCGTCTAAATAAATATTTATTTTTGGAGATATAACAGTTGTAAAAAAAAACAAATAACTTATAATTAAAAAAATAATTAAAATTATTTTTAGATTAATAAAAACTTATTTATTTTTAAAATTTAAATTGATTTATTATATTTAAATTTAATTTGATACAAAAACAATCCTTTTTTCTTCAAGAATCTTTTCAGTCATAAGAATAAAAATGTAGAAAATGATAGCAATTTATTAATTATATGCGTCTTAAGTTTTATGTTTTAACAAGTTTTTTATAAATATTTAGACAAATGTTTATTTAAATGTATTCTAAATCTATGATTTTGAATAAGCTATAAATATTTAATTTGCAAAACTTATAAAATCCAGAATTAAAATATATTTAAGATATACGAAAAATACATGCTACAGAAAATCTACTAGATAAGTTAATATTTTCTTGTTTCTTCAGTCTTTAGCACAGACAATATATTTTTATTATTAAAAAGTAAAACAGTATATATTTTATAAATACATATGGTCTACGCAAAATTTATAACTGAAAGAAAATCGTTTGATAATTTTCCTTTGTATATTTAAAAGCACGTAAAAATTCTTTGTTTTGTTATTAGCATCTTAGTGATTAAAGAGAAGCTATTAAATTTACATTGAAGACACCGCATTTTTTTCCTACATATACATACAAATTTATGTAATAACATTAATAGCAAAAAAATTTTAAATTGCATTTTAGTTTTTTTGCAAAAACCATTTAAATATCAAATAATTGATTTTTAATAAATATTATTTGATGTAAGTTGGAATTTTTCTTTTTGTTAAAAAAGTGTTCCGTTTTTCATTACAAAATTAATTTACTTGTAAAGAAACTCAATGATTTTTAAAAATTTAATTGTTAATTTCTTTATTTTGTACCCTGTCTTTTAATTGTAATAGTCTGCTGTAAAATAAATTAAATCTGTAATCAATACGATATAATAACAAATTAATATCATATTAATCGCGATAGGATGAACAAAAAAAATCTATTACCAATAATGTGTAATTTTTTACAAATCCTTCTAAAAATTAAAAGTCTTCAATAAATATCGGCATACTCGCTAATTTTATTAAATGCTAGATCTAACGATGATTAAAAATTTTGCAATGAACTCTAAATTTTATTTATATAAATTGAAATTATGCTATCTATAAACTTGAAAGATCTATCAGAGCAAGAATTGACTTGTGTTTTAGTTCTTTTGAAATATTTGATACTTTAAGCTTTTTTATATATATTAAGATATTTGATTATTTACGATCGGTTTACAAAAGTTTTTTCAAAATTTAACTCAGACTCTTTGTATTCATTAAAAATTTTACGTTCGTTAGCTATAAAATGGTAAATAAAAAATAGAATACGAGTTTTTTGTTTTCTATAAGATTGAGAAATATCTTTATTGTGTTGATATTATTTATCAGATAATATGTCGCTTTTTGATTATTTCCCTTAATCTTCATTGTTTCTATCTCATTAGTAAGCATTATTAAATGATGTACTGGTTTTAAAGTTGACATTTGCAGATAAAGAATTAACATATAGTGGTGTTGTATATCTTTGAGCATCACCTGCCTCATTTATATAATTAATCCCTAGGCGATATGTATAATTATCGAATAAAACAGAAAAGTTAATATTTGTCAGTAAATAAATGTTACTTTATGGTTAAAAACATAGACGTGTGCTAAAAAATTTTGAGTTGTATGTAATAAGAAGTTGGACCTATTCTTGCAAAATGAATTTATATAAATATTATAAATTGGATCATTTTGTGAATAATGGTAATTTTTACAATGTGTTGTTTCATTAACCAAATCATTTATTATACAACTTGTGCTATAATCCACATCAAATCACTTTCTGGAGTTATTGGAGACAAAGTGTTAATTAATTATAATCAACACCCATATATCTACAATTTGTATTTTCATCTATATTTTCTGCCAATTCATTTTGTATAAGAAAATTAGATGGGTTTTAACCATACTTTTTATATTCTGTTTTATTCGGTTCTCGACACCCTTGTTATATCTATTCGTTTTTACATAATTTTAACATCTCGTCAGATTTTAAGTAATCTGATAAATTTTCTAGAAATACCGATAAATCAAATCTAATATTATTACTGTGCAAAAAATTTCCTGCAATTATACAACATTTAACGGCTAAAAAATTTAAAATATAATTTGATTAAATAATTATAATAACAAATGTACATGCTATGTTAGTTATACAATACATTGTATAAATTATAAATTTATTTTATACGGAAATATTATTTTGATTTAAAATAAAATTAAATTATAACACAAAATACCACTTTAATCAACTTGAAAACATTATTATTAATTGAATTAAAATTAATTTAACATTTACAAAATCATTAGATTTTTCGTCATTTTTTAAGATAAATATGCAAATATAGTGTTTTTTGTAATTTTCAATTTAAACTAGATATAAACATTGACAACAGAATTATGGCTTATATACAGTACAAAATTGTTAAATGATTATTAAAAGCCAAACAATAAGAGGCCGAAGAGATCTCACTAATGTTGAAGAACCTGGTAAACGTAACAACCCGTAGATATTGTGAATTCAAAAGACATAAGCACAACATAGCTTAACATAAGAAAATCAAAAAAAATGTTAGACAATTATAACCAATAAATTCTATCAATATTTTTTAGAGCTTTAGCTAGTAAAGTTTATTATATCAATCTTAATGTTTAATAAGTATTGCACAAATATAAACTTTTAGTTTTCTAGCTAATAAAAAAATTAATTTTTTTTAGTAAATAAATTAATTAATCACCTTATAAATATGTACGTGTAAAAAAATAACTGCGAATTATATATATTAATATATAATATTTTTTAAACTGTTTTGCTTTCTTCTCTTATATAATTAAATAATTTATTATAAGAAGTTTTGCCTCAGTAAGATTATATCTGACTGTCATGTTTAAAACTTTATAAGCGCTTATATCTATCAAATATCTTTTTTTGAGAATCTTGAAAGCAAACCATTTTTGCAGGTGCGACACTTCATTATATAAATTTTTGTATCAATCAGAAATTCTAATAATACAATATATTTTTAATCCGAAAAAAATTTATTTTATTGAACTCAATTACACACCAAACTCAATATTCTAAAGCGATAGTAATATATTTAAAACAGGAAATCACCATTTAATAAAATTAAAAATTTTATGTTAGAAACCTATATAATTACTTGACCAAAACAAGGCTCTAACAATTAGAAGAATATAAAAAATCTATTCAGAAGATTATATCATTAGAAATATCCAGATTGCTAAATTTATAAAAATAAGGATGTTGCATTTTAGCTAATATTTAATTCATATTGCATAATATAAAAATCGCCTAGACATAATATAATTATTTGACTAATTTCAAAATTTGATTTTTACTATGCTTAATTAGATATGTTTTCCTTTCACAATTCTAGCCCTCTGTTTTTATAAAAAATTGTAAATTTGTATTTACTATTAGTGTTTACCATAATTGAAGTTTGATAAAATAGATAATATAGCATTTAGTTCTAAATGTTAACATAACTACTTTGCGGATCATTCCTAAATTCTACTTTCAACAATTATAAAGCTATTCCTATACATTTAAAGCAAATTCCAATATGTAAATTTAAAATATATGTCTTGTATACCTACCTATTAATTTACATTTTTAATGCTATTGCGCTACTAAAGATACATTTTTTTCGTAATACATCTGTGATTAACTTGTCCCTC